CTCAAAAACTCAAGAGAATATATTTAACAAAATCATAGGACAAAAATGTCCAAACATAAAGGACATTCCTATAAAGGTACAATAAGCTTACAGAACACCAAATAGATTGGATCAGAAAAGAAAATCCCTGTGCCACATAATAATCAAAACACTAAACATACAGAACAAAGAAAGACTATTAAGAGCTGCAAAGGAAAAAGGCTAAGGAACATATAAAGGCAGAACTATTAGAATCACGCCTGACTCCTCAAATGAGACCCTAAAAGCCAGAAGAGCCTGGACTGATGTCTTGCAGACTCTAAGAGACCATGGATGCCAGCCCAGACTAATATACCTAGCAAAACTTTCAGTCACCAGAGATGGAGAAAACAAGATATTTTACGACAAAGTCAAATTTAAAACATATCTATCCACAAATCCAGCCCTATAGAAGATACCAGAAGAAAAACTACAACCCAAGGAAGTTAACTACACCCATGAAAACATGGGCAATAGATAATCTCACACCAGCAAAACCCAAAGAAGGGAAACACACACACACACACACACACACACACACACATACACACACCAACCACAACCACTACCAACAACAACAAAAGAACAGGAATTAATAGTCACTAGTCATTAATATCTCTCAATATCAATGGACTCAATTCGCCAATAAAAAAAAAAACACAGGCTAACATAATGGATATGAAAACAGGATGCATCCTTCTGCTGCATACAAGAAACATCTTAACATCAAAGATAGACACTGCGTCAGAATAAAGGGTTGGACCTAAGAAGTAAGCTAGTGTAGCTATCCTAACATCTAATAAATAGACTTCAAGCCAAAATTAAACAAAAACGATGGAGAAGGACATTTCATATTCATCAAAGGAAAATTCCACCAAGATAATGTCTCAATTCTGAACATCTATGCCCCAAATGCAAGGGAACCCACATTTGTAAAAGAAACATTACTAAAGCTTAAGTCACACAATGAACCCCACACATTAATAGTGGGAGACTTCAACACCTCACTCTCACAATGGTCATCCAGACAGAAAGAAAACAGAGAAATAACAGAACTAACAGACATTATGACTCATATGGACCTAACAGATTATCTACAAAACATTTCACCCAAACACAAAAGAATATAACTTCTCAGCACCTCATGGAAAACTGACCATATACTCAGCCACAAAGCAAGTCTCAACAGATACAAGAAAATTGAAATAACCCCCTGCATCCTATCAGACCACCATGGATTAAAGCTGGATACCAACAACAACAGAAACTACAGGAAGCCTACAAACTCATGGAAACTAAACAACTCTCTACTGAGTTACCAATGGGTGAAGGAAGAAACAAAGAAAAATTAAAGACTTCCTAGAATTTAATGAAAATGAAATGCACAACATACCCAAACTTGTGGGATATAATGAAAGCCATGAAAAAAGGAAGGTTCACAGCACTAAGTGCCTTCATGAAGAAGTTGGAGAGATCTCACACTGGTGACTTAACAGCACCCTGAAAGCTCTAGAACAAAGTCACCCTAGAGGAGTAGAAGGCAGGAAATAATCAAACTGCGGGCTGAAATCAATAAAATAGAAACAAAGAGAACAATACAAGGAATCAATGAAACAGAGTTGGTTCTTTGAGAGAATCAACAACACAGACAAACCCTTATGACAATGAGGAAATCCAAAGAATCATCAGGTCATACTTCAAACAGGTACTCTACAAACCTGGGAAATCTAAAAGAAATGGACAAATTTCTTGATAGATACCACTTATCAAAATTAAATCAATATCAGATAAATAATTTAAATAGAACTATAACCCCCAAGGAAATAGAAGCAGTCCCAACCAAGAAAAGCTCAGGGCAAGAAGGTTTCAGTGCAGAATTTTACCAGACTTTCAAATAAGAGCTAATACCAGTACTCCTCAAATTATTCCACAAAGTAGAAACAGAAGAAACATTGTCAAATTCTTTCTATGAGGACACAGTTACCCTGATACCCAAACTACACAAAGATTGAACAAAGAAAATTACAGACCAATTTCCTCATGAACATTGATGCAAAAATACTCAATAAAATACTGGCAAACCAAATCCAAAAACACAATGAGAAGATCATCCACCAAGATCGAGTGGGCTTCATCCCAGAGATGCAAGGATGGTTCAACATACAAAAATCTATCAATGTAATACAACATATAAACAAATTGAAAGAAAAAAGCCACATGATCATTTTACTAGATGCTGAAAAGGCCAGTGACAAAATCCAACACCCCTTCATGATAAAGGTTCTAGAGAGATCGGGAATACAGGGAACACACCTAAACATAATAAAGGCAATTTACAGCAAGCTGACAGCCAACATCAAATTAACTGGAGAGAAACTCAAAACAATTCCACTAAAATCGGAAACAAGACAAGGCTGTCCACTCTTTCCATATCTACTCAATATAGTACTCAAAGCTCTAGCTAGAGCACGAAGAAAACAAAAGGAGAATAGGACAGGAAAAATTAGAAATTCAATTAGTAAATTGGAAAAGAATAAGTTAAAGTATTGCTATTTGCAGATGATATGATAGTATACATAAGCAACCCCAATTCTACTAAGGAACTCCTACAGATGATAAACATCTTTATCGAAGTAGCTGGATAGATACAAGATTAACTAAAAAAAATTAGTAGCTCTCTTATATACAAATAATAAAAGGGCTGAGAAAGAAATTAGGGAAACCTTCACAATAGTCACAAATACAAAACATATTAGGGTAACTCTAACCAAGCAAGTGAAAAATCTGAATTGACGAGAACTTCTAGTCTTTGAAAAAAGAAATTGGGGACAATATCAGAAAATGGATCAGTAGGATTAACATAGTAAAAATGGCCAAATGCAATCCCCATCAAAATTCCAACACAATTCTTTACAGAGCTTGAAAGAACAATACTCAATTCATATGGAAAAACAAAAAACCAGGATAGCTAAATAATCCTGTACAATAAAAGAACTGCCAGAGGTATCACCATCCCTGATCTCAAGATCTACTACAGGGTTATAGTAATAAAAGACACAGACATAAATCTACACACCTATGGACAGTTGATTTTTGACAAGGAAGTTAGAAATATACAATGGAGAAAAGAAAGCATCTTCAACAAATGGTGCAGGCATAACTAGATGTCAGCAGGTAGAAGACTGCAAATAGATCCATATCTGTCACCATGTGCAAAACTCAAGTCCAAGTGGATCAAAGACCTCAACATAAATCCAGTTACATTGAACCTGATAGAAAGAAAAGTGGGGAAGAGCCTTGAACACATTAACACAGGAGACAACTTCCTGAATAGAACACCAGTAGCACAGACACTAAGATCAACAATTAATAAATGGGACCTCCTGAAACTGAAAAGCTTCCGTAAGGCAAAGGATAACATCAATAGGACAAAATGGCATCCTATAGAATGGGAAAAAATCTTCACCAAACCCACATCCAACAGAGGGCTGATCTCTAAAATATATAAAAAACTCAAGAAACTAGAAATCAAAAAACCAAATAATCCAATTAGACAATGGGATACTGAACTAAACAGAGACTTTTCAACAGAAGAATCTCAAACAGTAGAGAAAAACTTAAAGAAACGTTCATCATCTTTAGCCATCAAAGAAATGCAAATCAAAACAGATCGGAGATTACACCTGTCAGAATGGCTAAGATTAAAAACACAAATGACAGTCTATGTTGGCAAGAATAAGGAGCAAAGGGAACACTCCTCCACTGTTGGTGGGAATGCAAACTTGTACAACCAC